AGCGCTCACTCCTGGGGACCCGCCACCCTATTTCTCAATGACTTTCTTTTCCCACAGGTTGTTCTTAACTGCTGTCATCACAGAGGTGTGTTAAACTCAGTTGTTTCTGTGTCATCCATGTCGTGCTCAGGGCAGTGGGCAAACAGCATATGTCCAAGCAGGGTAGGACAGATTGGTACGTGTTCTGGTAGCAAAGCTGAGAGGTGGATTTGGAGTCCGAGGGACAGGACGGAGCTGTGGAGGTATGCTGTGTGCAGAACAGAAAGGTGCGTGTAGCTTGTGGGTCACGCCACCGCCTTCTAAGGGGTCCTCTGCAGGGACTGCTCGCTTACGAGTCATCTGTCCTCAATTCCCAGTGGTTCTCCCCTGCTTTTCACTTTCATGTAGTTCTCCATGCTGGGAAGTCCTAGGAGGCAGAGAGTATCTCAAAATAAAAGCTAAAGCGCTTGCCAAGGCCCTTGGTTCAACCCCCAGTACCTTCACATTGCTCCAAAAAAAAAGGGGGGGGGAGAAAAAAAAAACTTTCCCGATCCCTATCCCCTCTGCCTTCCCAAACTGTCTCTGTAATGACCCTGCTAAGTGGTGCAGGAGGGAATTTTTAGGTGGCAAATTTGCAATCATTGCCTCATTTCTGTTGGAGTATATGGTGCATCACTTATTCTGTAGACTTTATAGCATCATCATTTAGATTCTGAAGAACTGGAGTACACAGGATTTCCCATGGGGACGAGGAGTTTACACCTCTAAAGCAGTGAGCATCTGAGACAGTTTGGGTCTGGTCAGATGACATTTACATTTTGTGTTTTACCTGGCCTTGTCTTCCGAAGACCTATGAGAAATGTAACACAAAAACCTCAGTTCAGACCATACTCACAATATCAGATTGATCTGCAATGCTTGATATGTCCAGCTACATTCTCCAGCTCTCTTTTAGAGACAGGTTAACAGGCTTTCCTAACATACCAAGAAGACCATATATATCCACCATATATTATGTGGATCAAACCTCTTAAGATGGTTGGAGGGAAAGGATGAGTTCAAGAGTGATACCATTTCCTCACTGTAGGTGAAGAATACTGATACCATTTCTACCCATGGAAATTGTCCTAGTTTTTCCCATGTGTCCCTCTTCGAAGATGTCTGTTATAATACGACATCATTGCTAAACGTGCTGGGCCACATTCATCGCTGTTCTGGGATACGCAGCCACAGGCTGAACAGGTTAAACGTGCCTATCACAGTCACCCCCTTCTGAAGAAAAAAAAATCACTCTGTGGCCATCACCCACAGCACTGTGCCTTGTAAGTGTATGTGTGTGCCTGTGTGTTTCAACTGCCTCCCTGACAAGGTGACAATATGGCATACAAAACACTGTAAGAATAGGCAAAGGGCTCCTTTCACCTCTGTTTCCTTCACTGGGCTTGTAGAGAAAGAAGAGGAGGAGGAAAGGTAAAAAGAGAAGGGAGGAAGAAGAGAGGAGAAAGAGAGGAGGAGGAAGAAAGGTGAAAGGCTTAGGGAGGGGAGGTGCCTGTTACTGACGTCATAAGTAAGATGCTTTCCCCCTCACAGCCTTTCAGGATGCCTGTCTCCATGGCAGCTGCAGCAGAACATGGACTTTGGTGAGTGAGACCCAGGCTCCCCCAACTACTTTCCAATGGCAAATTCTTTGGCAGATGCAGTGGACGGGCATCTGTGGCTGGGTAAGGACCACAGCTCTCTAGCTAGGTTAATTTGGATAGAAAAACACCTAGGGTGGGATTTTTTTTTTTTTTCATAACTTCTAGGCAGATTATGGAGCCATCAGTCTTTGCTGAGGCTGTCATCAAGGTGACCAGACAAGGAGCTGCTTTCCATACGATGACACAGAGGAGATCAAGACGTGCCCTTTCCTCATCCCTATATCCCTCTACTTTTCTCTGAGCTAAGACCTGCTTCAGAGCGAAGGCTCCATAGAAGAACAGAATCAGCCAGAACACTTAACAGCAATTTCCAACTTCCCTGGGCTCTGGGTATCTCTTCTGAAATCCACACACCCCTTCCTCAGTTCCTTGCTCAATTCTAGCTCCTGAATGAGAACATTTCAGCCCTCCAAGATGGGTCCCAGGAGGGAGGGGCCATCCTTGAACACATTTGAAAAGTGGTATGACCAGGCTAAAAACCCTGACTAGCAGATTTTACTCCATCCTTGACCTGGATGCTTGCTCTCTTGGCCTGCATTTAAGAGCAGTAGGAGTGTGTCACTTGGCCTCTGCACAGCAGCCACCTTCCTTCTATTGACTTCCAGGGTCTTCCAGAAATGTGCTGACTTCGGCAAAGGAAGGGCAGTATTCAGCTGGGTTTGTCTGGAGCTCTAGATGGTTGAGAAGACTGAGAAAGGAACACAAATCGTCTCTTCGTACAAGTACCCAGAATTTGCAACCAAGGTGCCAGAGAAGGGTAAAAGACACAGTCGGGCCTTGGATTTCTAAGAAGGTGGAAACCACAACTAATAGAGGAAAAACTTACAGTTCAAACAAGGCCTAAACAAAGTCTCTCTCTTTTAACCTGGAGACGTGAACGAGGACCAGGCAGGGAGGAACTTAACTGGACTTTGTACACTATGGCCACACACATGGAAAGATTGGAAACAAAAAGACACAGAGCTAGTCATAGGACAGGTGAGAGCACCTCTTCATGTCCCTTTGGTCCCCAGCTTTGGGCTAATCCCTCTGCTATTCAGGGACTGTCAGGATTGCAGAAGCTTTGAGGATTATGTTCAAAACAGTCACTGGGAAGAGTCCACATTGGGAGGAGAGTAGCTAGTCTGGTGTAGATGTTCACAGGCTTTCCATGCCCTGTGCCCCACTGTCCTGGTGTCAGTCTTATTCAGGTGGTCATGAAGCCAAGTTTTAAAGGGTAACCAAGGGTAAGGGGCCCATTGTCCCTGATGATGCCATTCTTGCAGGATGCCAAGTATGAGTGAAAGGCTACTCTGGTCTTCTTGGCCATAAAGGACAAGGCAGCCAGTGGGTATGACTGGTCTAGGGAGGATGGGTTGGGGAACCACACTGGGCAGAGTCCTGGTAGGAGCTGCAGGAACTCAGCCTGTAGCTTATGTCACTTGTCAATGGACTCTGGCAGTGCAGAGCAAAGAATCTAAAAGAAAACAGAAGGTAGCTAGAGGAGTAGGCAGAGTAAGGATGCTTGTGTATAGGATCAACCAAACATCATATTTGCATAGGGGTCAGATGTATATGAGAACCAGACAGCCAGTCAGAAGGGCTCAACACTCAAGTCTCATCAACACGGCCACAGAACCTTGCAGAAACAAGACAAAGGATGCCATCTCATCATTATCTCTAGAAACCCTCATGGGCGCTACAAAGGATACATAAGGTTACAGCACATGGAAATCCAAGGAGAAATGCTGTTTCTAGACTGGTTAACCTGCAAACATTGGGAGCCTTTCTCTACATTTTCATGAAACAGCCCATAAGAGCAGATTCATCTTCACTGAGGGACATCCCTGCTGGAATTTCTAGTAGATTCTCACATAATCTCAAAAAAAAAAAAAAAAAAAAAAAAAAAAAAGGCTTGAAGGACACTGGGAATGGAAGATACCCCATAGGTAAATTCTGGGTGAATGGTTGAGTCTTATTTTCCCCAAAGCCCTTCCTGTTCAACCATTCTTATTAAGACACAATCGAAGAATCTGGCACTAATTGTAAGGGTTGCTGATGGCAGATCCAAAGGAGCCTAAACAGAAGCCCCACACATCTGTTCCTTTCAGCCCTGTGAGATTCTAGTCATGATGCCCGGCTTTTCCGCCTTCCTACTTCAGAAGAAGGAAAGGATGTGTAGCTTCTATAAGGACTACAGTTCCATCCAGTCACTATTCTCCAGCCCCAACTATGGCTCTTAGTGTCTGGGTAAGTCATTTATCAAAGGTCAACCTGTCCCACCACTGACGTCTGACATCTGACGTCACCTCATCCTCTCAGTTGAGATGTGCGCTGTGGGAGTGCTTGGGAGAGCACTCTCCCACAGGATGCTGGAGCATTTTGGACCAGTATCCACAGAGAACAGCAGAAGGCAGCAAGTGAAGACCTGGATGAAACACGTCCTGATCTCGCAAAGCAAGATGCGGCATGGACAGTCTTACCACCGTGTTTTGGAAAGACTGAGGGATATGGAACCAAAGCACAAGGTATGCCAAACGGTACCTCCCAGACCTGCCTGCAGACCTGCCTGTGGAGAGCAGAGTGAGGACTTACATTGCAGACCTTTGATTAAAGAAACACCATCTCTTCCCCCGACCACATATAGAAAAAGCACTTAAGAGCTCGAAGGTAAAGCTCATCACACTCCAAATACAAAATGATTTACTTTACATGCAGCAAAATATACAAGAAGTGGATTTTGAAACAAAACTTAAGTCATTATATTTGCTTGGCACAATTGCAATTCAGTTTTAAAAAAATATTTGAAAAATACTGAAACTGACCTGAATTCAAGTATAACAGTTTCTTCAACAGAAACATCATCAATGCAATAAAACATTACACAGAATATATCGAAGCAAAATGTCTTCTTGAGTTTTTCCCTTAAATTTCGTGTTTTTTTTTTTAAAATAGACTTTTAATGCGGACACAACTTCACAATCGTATTTTAAAATGGATATTATTGCATAGCTTTTGCATATCTCGTGGGACAGAAAAATGCAGTTACCGATTCTCGTTTCAGAAGCAGAAGCAGAGACAGTGATTTGTTTTTTTGTTTTTTGTTGTTTTGTTGTTTTTTTTTTTGTGTTTTTTTTTTTTTTTTTTTTT